ACTTCATCTCACTGCTTTGGTATCATACATGTACGAGGGGGGGGGGGGGAGATATGTGGGCTTCACAAACACATGACAAGCAACTTAATGACTCTCTTAGAGCTTGTTACAAACCTATTTGCTCTGCAAAGGCAATGGTACCCTCTTCTAGGGTGTATCGGGTTTCTGTGGCCAGGTCTTGGTAGCAGGGGGGCTACAGCATTTTGTGTGGGTCATAGAGCAAAACGGTTGCAGCTGAGGCAGTGGTGACTCCAGGAAGGGGAATCCTGAGGCTGGCATGGTAGTCCTTGGACTATTGCAAAATAGCTCCAAAAGTTCTCTGAAGACAGCGCTATGGTGGTTACCCTGTGTCTGAGCCTGGTTGGACAGTGAAGGAATGGCTGAACACTCTGGAAAAGACTCTGAGAGTCCACAGTGCTCAAGCAAGCAAAAACTAGGTACAGAGAGAGCAGTTCTGGCCTGTACCCACCTTTTATCTCTTCATTCTTGATTTTCCAGGATGCTCAACTCCAGGGACCCACCTTTCTAATGGGTTCTGAGACCCCGTGAGCAGTCTCAGATCCAGTTTGGATGGGGGTGGTCCCCAAGCTCCAAATTATGTGTTGGTATGAAATATTTATCACTGAAAATCCTTACCATTTAACTAAAACTACAACACAGGTGTTTTTCAATACTTCTCAGAATAATTTTCTCCATAATTTTACCAGGCACTGAAGTGAGACTGACAGGTCTGTGGTTTCCAGGGTTCTCCTTCTTGCCCTTCTTGAAAATCAGGACAATGTTCCCCAGCTTCCAATCAGCTAGGACCTCTCAGGATTCCCAAGACCACTCAAAAATCAAGAGAGGTTTTGTGATTATATCGTCAGCTCTTTGAGGACTCTTGGATGGATCCCATCAGGCCCCATAGATTTGTGAGAATCCACCTGGAGCAGCAGATCCTGCACAATTTCAGGGTCGACTGGTAGTTGATCATTCTTGCAGTCATAGTCCTCCAGCTCAGGGCACTGATACCTTGGAGGTTTGATTTTTTTTAAATTGTGTAGATTTTAGAAGTAGTTATACAGTGTATGTAGATTTTAGAAGTAGCAATACATTATCCCTTTACCCTTTAACACACCAACCACACATAGCAAACCCTGTAACCCATTCCCATATCAATTCCCCTAAATTCCACTGGCCTATTTAGTCTCATTTTCAAGGTAGAATTGTAGAGAACACCCTAAAATCTATGCAAGAAGATATAGCCATAGACGCAACAACCTTCAGGCCTAGAGTTCTGGAAGGCTTCCAAGAACATTACGTGCTCTGAGGAAGATGAAGATGAAGAAGAGGGGGTCCCAAAATGCCCCCAGACTCAATTCTCGAGAGGCGTGGCGGGGGGCAGAACCTGGGCAGAACCTGGGCAGTGGATGGACAGGGATTGGGTGAAAATCATTATAAAAACTGTAAACACCTGTATTTGAGAGCGGGCATTGGTGTATTCCGGAAATCTGAGGGGCTCATTAAAGCCTTTTTATCCTTATCTCCTACCTAATTTGGCTTGGAGTCTTTTTTTTCCCCACAGTCATTTAGGCAACAGATGGAATATGGGAATAATTAATTCTTGTATTTTAAATAAATAAAGGGGCAAACAGAAAGCACGCACACAGACCATTCCAATACTTAAAATGAGATTATGACCTGTTGGGGATTAAATTAGGTTTACTTATATAATATTAGAAATTATTTGTGCAGTTTTAAGGTTCATTGTAACTTGCTTAGTTTAGCACGAGTGGGCCCTGCTCAAAGCTTGGCATAAGTGAACTTCAAATAAACCCTGTTTGTTAGCATGATCGGCTAAACTGGGGAGTAAACAGAGAAAGACTGGATACCTTCAGATAAGGGTTGAGATCCTGGAGGGCCCCAAGCTGGAAGATAAGAGCAGTTAATGGTCTGCCCATACGGACATGAAGAAAGAATCCAATGAGGTGTTAGATGACCCCAGACCATAAATCACCATTGGACCAAGAGATGCATGCAGAGCATGTGAAGATTGGGTGCACAGACTGTGAGGTTATAAAAGCCCAGGGATTTCTTTGTTTAGGGTCCCTCTCTGGAGGCACCAAGCTTGAGCTGAAATCAACTGGCTCTGCCTCAGAACCCAGGCTCTGAACTCTTCTTTAGCAGATCAGTTTACTAGTGGGTGGCATGGGTCATCATAATCAATCATTCAGAAACAAGCCTAGCTCATTTTCATTTAAAAAAAACCCAACACCAAAACTCCAGACCTAAGTTCCAAGTATTAATTAGAAGGAAACAAAGGAGAAAAAATAATTAATAAAATTAGTGTCAAAAAGATTGCAGGAATCTTTGTCAATTTTTATGAGTTATATTTTGGAATAAATATCAGACCTTTTTAATAAGCACCTGTACACTTGTTTTTTGCAAAATCCACATAGGGAGCTTTTAAAATTGTATAAACTATAAAAATACTGAAAGCAAGAAAGGGAGAGACACCAACTGAGATGTTGGAACAAATGTCAGAGGAAGAGAATTTAAACAAACCTGTATCAGCACTCAGTTCATCTAGCAGTCCTCTGGTTCTCCAGGTAGATACTGAGTCTTGATTTCCTAAAGAATTATTGTGCTCTTGAACTACTGCAGCTGCCAACAGATGGTCCACATTTACCACTTCTGGGTCTGAGTTTGTGTCTGATATATCATAGTGAGCTACAACTGGAGGTCCATCTGCAGAAGAAGAGAAAAGCAACATAGAAGTCATCATACTGTGAAAAACACATCTAAAAGTACAAATTACAATAATTTAAGTATTAATGCAATCTCCTACATGAAGCTCATAAAGTTATAGTTTATAGTGATCCATTATACGAATCATTAAACTTCAGTTAATGAACATTGAGATTACAGAGACATTTTAACCTTTGCATACACAGAAAACACAAATGTAAGAAAACCACATTTATGAAATTATCAGTTATTTGTGTATTATCTTTTACATTAACACATCAACATCATATCTGATGACGTTACATTTACAATCTTAAAAGGATAAACTTAAGGTTAAATCAAAAATAATAAGTTACAGGATATTAAATTTGGCAAGACAAAATATTTATCTAGAGAATTTTGCAAAAGTCGAGACCTTACATTACTTTATGGTTGATTGAATAAAACAAAGTTTTTGATATAACTGATCCAGTGACAATAAATTAGGCAACTTTCATAACATTTACCTGTCAAAGGCAGTGGAATTTTTCAAAGTGGCAATGTTTTTTGGTGTTGTTTTTTTTAAAGATTGAGAATAACAAGAAACAAAACTATAATGTGCAGTGATAAATATGTTTTTCATTCACTATGATAACCATATGCATTTTTGGCCACCAAAGTGAAGAAGGAAAGAGGGAGAGAAAATAGCTTATGTGATTCTGAAATCTGTTCTTGAGGAATAACAAAAAGCTATTTTTGGTCTATTTTGTTAGGACCAATTATATTCTTTGTGATGTATGAAAATCACTTATAATTAGAAAGCATGCTAAAAACAGAAGAGGTTAAAAAAAAAAATCAGTCAAGACAAAGTTTAATGTGGAAGCAGAGAGAATGGATAAATAATTCTGAAAGGATGTGTGATTTAACTCAAATGCCTCATCCCAGCTACAGCTTATTGACTCAGAGTGGATGAAAGCTGTTGGAGTTCCCACTCCCTAAATTAGAGAATCAAAACTTTCTTTGGGCCAAGACTTCATCACCAAAAACAAGGATGAAATAGAAATAAGTTTCAAATTTAATTCTCTGAAAAGCTGTTTCTCCCGAGGTTTTTAGGGTGGGTTCTTTTTGGGTTTGGTTTGGTTTTGATTTGGTTTTTTTTTGTAACTTGGTGTCTGAAACATAATTCAACTTGCTATTTTCAGAAGTGCCTATTTTGTGATCAGCAACACACTTCATTGAAAAGTGACCATATTGTTTAATTCATGCTAAAGATCAGTTTTGCAACAAGGTATGAAGAAATTCACAAAATATTTCTAATCAGACCTGCCTCCAAAACAACAAGTTCATAAAGTGATGTTATATTACAAACTTAAAACTGACCAGACAAAAATAAATGGGTAGTTAAATGCCAATGTATTAAAGACCACACTGTTTGCAACATGAACAGATAATGATTATGACTGGAAAAGAAGTCCTGATAATTAACTGAAAGGCAATCTTTGTATTTTTAAAAGGCAATTACAAAATAATGGAATACCAAGTTCAAAATTGAGCTGGATGATGTTCAGTTAATTACTTGTGACAGCTGATGATTAAATTACATGCAGAAGTTACAACTGGACTGAATCATGAGAGGCATGTTTTCTTTCAGTCTTATCATTAGAGTTCAGCGTGTACATATATAATGTGAGCTATAAAAATAAACGAGTGCAGAAGATACAAGGGTGAAGTACAATATTGACTATTTGCCCATTTTTTCAAAAGGTTATCTAAAATTTAAGGAGCTATGTACTGTTCCTTCAGGTCTTTGTTTCCCTCACTTCTTAGAAGATGTACAAAAACAGAAGTAAAACTTGGATTTAGATAGACGTCTACACAAGTAAAATTGTACTGGGACAAATGGCACCAATAGTCTCAAGTCAAAATTGTACCACTCCTACATGTATAATCATGCAAAAATGTATAATTAACGCACATACATGCAGAGTGATATTCTCATCACCTACCCATAGAAATAACTTGTGTGAAAGTCTTCATCAGTAGGAAATACAAGCATAAACTTGTTATCTGTAGCTCCACTCTTGTATCTTCCACACTTCCAAACAGAACAGCTTATAACTTTGCTTCAATTTAGTATACATCAAACAGACAAAAAATATTTTCAATATAATTTACATACTGTAATTATATTTGTCAGTGTAAGACCCACCAATTTTACAATCTGGAAAAAACACAAGCTGCCTATTTACAAAGCAATAACAGCTGAGATCTATTTTTGCTTTTCTCAGCCTTGCCTTTCAGGATCAGGTTTGAAAACCAAAGGTTGAAAACCAGTGTTAACTATACCTATCACCAGTAAATGACCAACAAAGCCAAGATAATGATCTTGATGGTGTAACAAATCCCCAGATTCTCAGCATGTATAAAAGAAGAAATAAGCAATAAATGCCTATGTGTGTTTAAAAAACCCCAAACAGTAAGTTGTAGACAACTACAACTAGATGAAAGTTGCAGCGAAGGCATATAAAAAAATCCTCTAAAAAAATCCACGGTTCCCAAAAGTCTGTTTCCTTTTCAGTGCTATAATGATTGGACAGCAGTGGTTAAATTTGCAAATAAATAATACTTCCCTAGTCAACTACATGATCACCCAGTGATGTGCTACAAAGTGAATGGGTGGTACCAAGAAAGAAGGACAATTGGCTTCAGCTGGGAAATAAAGTTTAAAAATGTTTTCAGGTTGAAAAGGTAAAAGGATTAACAACAAGGAAAATTGTACTTTATCATCTTTTCTTTACAATAGAGCCACTCCTTGCAATTACTTATTGTAACAGGATTTCAACGTATAGAAAAACAGTCACCAAAACAAACCATGCCAGAATCAAAACTTAATGTAGCATAATTAGGAGGTTCCCTGATCAGTAGCTTAAACAAACCATTTAAGAAAAATCATATCTTTTGAGAAGCCAAAGTAGCTGGAAGACGTACATATCCCTGGTGATATAATTCATTTCTAAAGCAAAAAAATCTTGAAAAAGGCAAAGATGAAAGTTAGTAAATACCAGCAGCAAAATATAGATGTTGACATTTAATGTTAACAGGGGTAGGGAAAGACTGCATTTTTTATTTTTAAAGAATTCAGAGGACAACTGAATCAGAAGTCACATGCACAAAAATTCATGTCTACACATATCAACCTTCATTTTAAACTTGCAACATAGAAAATTAAATAATTTCTTATTTACTATCTGCTCCCATGTTTCATAGAGCCACATCTCAACATTCAGTGATCTAAACTGTGCTGTAAGATCCACACTACTATTATCCCTTATTTTATTATAATGGCAGCACAAGCAAAAAAATGAGAATCAACGATAAAATCTCAGCTGTAGGTTAAAAGCAGTGATTCTATAAGAAGCACTGTACTTTTCTGCTGCAACAGCTGTGTATCAATGCACAGGAAACAAAAGATATTAGCTAGCAGAACCTAGATGGGGAATTTAGACCTTTATGTCAATGTAGACAGGTTGAGAGAGTTGGAGCTGTTCAGCCTGGAGAAGGCTCTGGGGAGACACCTTAGAACACCTTGCAGTACCTAAAGGGGTTACAAGAGAGCTGGAGAGGGACTTTGGACAAGGGCATGGAAGGATAGGAAAAGGTGCGATGGCTTCAAACTGAAAGAGGGCAGGATTAGATTGGATATTAGACAGAAATATTTGACTGTGAGGGTGGTGAGGCACTGGCACAGGTTGCCCAGAGAAGCTGTGGCTGCCTCGTTTCTGGAAGTGTTCAAGGCCAGGTTGGATGGGGCTTGGAGCAACCTGGTCTGATGGAAGGTGCCCCTGCCCATGGCAGGGGGGTTGGAACTAGATGGTCTTTAAGGTCCTTTCCAACCCAAACCATTCCATGACTCTGATTTGAAATTTTTATTTCCCTTTAGCTTTCTTAAATTTAGGCATGTTGTGTGAATCTTATCACCTAACCTCACTCCCACTGTAGCCAGAGAGAAGTTGTTAGGAGTAAGGTAATCTCAGTCTGGAAACTACAGTCTGGAGCATCACCATCTCCCCTCCTTCCCCAGTAAACAGAAAGAGCTTAGACAGCCACCTTAGCCAAGGCACCTAACTTTTACACCACTGAAGTTCAGCAAGATGAATTCCAGCTTTAGGAATGGGATTTAAACTTCGCTATGTTTTCTCTACAAGTAGAGGAAAAAGACTGAAATCTCCAGAGGACTTTCCTGATTAAAATAATTTCAAAATTAAATGCCTAATTTTCGTGGTCTGAATCACCCTCTGGAGTTGTCAGTGGCTCCAATGGAGACATGGAGCTTTATTTAGGTGTGAATATCACCCTAAGCTTTAAAAAACACATAACAGGTACAATAATAATAGCAATAATAATTATAGCACTTTACTCTTACATAAAGCTTTCCATTAGAGAATCTCAAGGAACTCTGAGGTGCTTATTAATCTCCTTTTGCCTATGGGGGAAACTGAGGCAAGTAGAGATTTGCAGCTTGCTCAAGGTTAACAAGCAGAAGAGCTCAGCTTTGGTGAAAACAACACTCCCCTCAAATTACTGAGCTACTTTTAACTGGTAAATTATTGAGGAGTTTAAAAATAGTGTTTAGGAATGCTTTCGTGAAATGTGCAACAACTAAAAAGCTAAACAGCTAAAGAGAGGCACCTAGGTAATTGCAAGCCCAAGGAGACATGGCTTCTTCCAGCCTCACCTCTACATCTTTACTGTGAATATAGGCACTACTTTGTCTCAGTCTTGGTAGTCTAAACTATATTGGATTTATTTTTATATAACAAAGGGGAATACTGAGACATTTTAAAATAATAAGAGTTAAGAATTCCCTCAATTACACTTGACACAAATTTAAGAGAGAACTCCATTTACTTCAAGATTACACAAAACATGGATTGTACTTTAATACGTATATAAATGTTAAGATCAGATGATCATTATAGTAATTGAAATATTTTGTGTGCCAAAAGCTAGAAGATTCATCT